CAATGATCAATTACCATACACCCGTGATCGATTCGAGACAAAAAGCTGCTCCGATACTTTCGTATCGGGCAGCTAATTAAAGATCGATCGCAATCACGTCTACGAACGTTATTCGCGCTTACACTGTAATTACTTTATAGATTATAATATTATAGAAATTTGTTAATGGTGGTCCAGAATTCTGTGATTTTACCAGCTATTTTATCATTAGTATTAAGGTTAGAAATAACAAGTTATAGTTTATATCAAATTTCATGAGAAATAAGCTTGTCATTGAAAAAAACTGTCGGCAGAATAAACTGTCTATGAAATAAACCTTTCTAATGAATTGATTTCTGTTAAATAAACTTGGTGAAGTGATGCGATTGTGGGTGAATGATAAGGATCCCGAGGCGGCATTGTATATCCGATAAACTGATCGGAAAAACTGTGATGCAATCCAAGAAAGTGAAACTCTTCAAGAGGTTCAAAATAATTCTTGAAATCTAATTGGTTTTGCTGAACTTTTATAAGTGTTTCCTACTTAAACATATGTGAGGTTTAGAAATTTTTGAAAAAAGCCTTATTATATTGTTCTGAAATCATCGTGTCCAGCTATTTATAGCATTTTAAATAGCATTAACGATATTACATTTATGTAAGTATTTGATGGTTTTTTTTTTTACAAGCATAATTAAGAAATCTTTGCTGAATTTAGATGTATGATTAGTAGTGATATTAGTAGCGGCGATTTTAGTTGCTTTAGACGCTAGAAATGGCTGGACACTCTGCCCGAAATCTACGAATTATGTAGTCTGACAGTTTTAAAATTAATTTTTTAACAATATGTTTATTGTTAATAATTGATAAAAAATCCCGATCAGAGAATATGAAACAGAAATGAAAACGGCTTATGTGTATTTCTATTTTTGATCTTTGATTCTTCATGATATGTTCGACTTCCGCATTGATATCATTATATCAATTTCAAAATAAAATTCTACTTAAGCCCTAAAGGGAATTAATCATGCATATTTTTTATTAATCATTTCTTTTCAAAGTGTTACATAAAGTGATGCTAAGAATTCTTTGATATTACGAAAAATCAGTGTTGATTCAAAACTAAGAGTCGAAAGTAATTTTTTTTTCAAGGTTTAATCAAAGAAAATATCAAAAAAAAATCTGTCTAAAAAATTTCCCGATGAAACAACCTCTACAAGATGGTTTTACTCTTCAAGAATTAGTGCGCGAAGCTTTATCGCGCATTAATTCAAAATATCTTACTCATAATTTAGGACGTTCAAAAGATGGTATGAGACTACTGGAAAGAGTTTGGCAAATGGAATTTTATAGAGCAATCTATAACTGTTTACCTAATGAAATGCATATTTCTCCGGATGTTGGAAGAATATTTGCTACCGATGGTGTGGTTGATTTTTATATTTCAGAACCTCAATGGGCCATTGAGCTTTTGATTGATGGTAAAGATATGAAGCGTCATCATGAACGATTTCAAGATGGTATATATAGCATCTTTATTTAAGGAAAGAATCTTAATACATAAATTATATATATATATTTATTTATTTATTTTTTTTTTTTTTTGATAAAAACAGGAGGCAAATATTCTTCAATACCAATAAAATCATATATAATTCTCGATATTCGTGAAACTAAAACAACTGTGAAGGCATATCCGAATACTTGGCATATAACACCCAATGCCGATTTTACTACATTTAACATACAAGATGGCCCAAATTCTTTTAACATAACGACTCGCGATGGATATCCTTATAGTTCAAATTTTCGAATCTCAGCACAAGATGAAGCTATGAAATTTGAAATGAGTAATTTAAAAAGAAGACGTAACAATAATGGTGATATAAAAGAGGAAAGGCAAAAACGGCAAAAGATACATGATGTAGTAGAAGACCTGGAAAAGCTAGTGAATTCTTTAACCAAACGTGAAAAACACTTGAGAGAAAGAGGTGCATTTAAAGAAGCAGATAAAGTTCGGCAAAAATTAAATAGAGCATCAAATGATTTAGCAAAAATATTATACAATGCGAATTTACATTGGAACCATGACAGAGATTCTTCCTCTTCTGAATCAAGAAGAAAATGTATTATTCTATAGCTTTGCATCTTTTTTTTTCAATAATTTGGCATTATATATCTATTTTTTGCGTCGTTGCATTTTTAATCGACAAGATTATTCGTACGTTTCTTTTAAATAAAATTCATACTAAAAAATTTAGTAATTTCGCTTATCAATCATCTCATACAAACTTTGTATATTTTATAAACAAATTGCAGGTCACTTCGCATGATTAGGCAGAGAACTTGATACTTAAATAGAAAGAGTTCTTCGATACTAACCTTAAAGTTATTGAACATTACAGTTGTCTATCTCTATATGTGAGGGAGAGTCAATAGGATCTTTTTTTTTTTAATGATTAGTGTCACGAGCAAAAAATGCATTTCCGAAAATCATAAACTATTGAAAGGCTTGGATGACTGTCAAAAGCTTGTATTACCTCTCTACTTAGAACTTTGGATAGGCTTTGTTATCCAGTTTCTTGGATTTCTGTACTTGATAAACTTATTATAGATTTGTATTAACTCTAGTACTAGTTTGCATTTTTTTATATAATATGAATACCTTAAGCTTCTAGTCTTGCTAGTATGACCAATACAGGTATCTTAATCTAACTGATCGATGATGATAGTATACTATAACTAGTGCTTCTAGGTTCGGACCCGGTCCGGGATTAAACCAGGCTCAGACTCTAAATTTTACTAGTTTCGAACTTCAGACCAGACTCAAACTTAATTATGAGTTTGATCTGGGTTTGCAAACTAGTTCGAGTCTGAATATATAATCTGGTTTGAAGTTCGGTCCAAAGTTTGCAAACATGTCCGGTCCGGTCTGGTATATTTTTTAGCTCATCATGTAAGCAGATTTGTGAAATTTAGTAGCTAAGCACAAAAAAAATATATCAGACTAGACCAGACATGTTTGCAAACTTTGGACCTAGTGCTTGGACCCATTCAAAAAAACATTACTCAGATAACCTAGTGGTCCAATATAAGGGTTGGACCCGGGTAAAGGCTACCCGGGTAACCCGCGGATACAACGGATATCCGGTTACAGCTGTTTTCATTATTCCTGGGACACCTATAAAAAATTAGCCGAAGAAAAATTTCGGCCAGTAATTTTTTCGGCATGATCATGATCGGTATATAAAAAATATTTTTGAATTCGTTCAATTTTAATTTACTGCAATATTGATATAATATCTACATCATAAATTAAATATATTTTTGAACTCGTTCAATTTTTATTTACTGTAATTTTGAT